TTCAGCCTTGGCTCTGGTTCAGTTTCTTGGCGTTCTACTCGTTCTTCTTCTGTTCTCAGCTCCAGTTGTGAGGCTGAGATCTACGCCACAGCCATGGCTGCACACGAGTTACGCTGGCTCACCTACCTGCTGACCGACCTGGGAGAGCGGCCTAGTTCTCCTCCAGTGCTGTACGTCGACAACAAGGCTACCATTGCCTTGTGTGAGGAGCACAGACTGGAGCACAGAACGAAGCATATCGCTCTGCGGTACTTCCTTGCTCGAGAGCTGCAGCAGCGTGGTCAGCTTCGTCTGCGTTACGTGGCCACTCGGGCCGACACTGCTGATGTGTTCACCAAGGCGCTTCAGCCTTGTGACCATCAGCGTTTCTGTATTGTTCTAGGCCTTGTGCCTACTTTCCCTCACTTGCTCACTTCTTGACTCTGCTTGTACTGTGATCTCTATATATATACCTGCATGCTTACACTTGTTAGGTTGTGATCACTGTATCTCTTGATATATTATCAAACTGCATGTGAACTGGTCTTGTGACCGCTTACTTGTGCTTGGAATTTGTGTGGTATCCTTGAGATCCACCCTGAGCTTGTTTTGCCTTGCTTTGCTTTGACTGGTCTTGTGACCCCTTGCTCTCCCCCACTTCGCTTATGGGGGTGTGTCAAACATTATATATGTTGTAGTTGTTTAGGCTACAGTGGGCTAGCCTTTAGGGGGTACTCAATTCTAGGTTTAGGTACTTGTACTCACTTCTCTCTCAATTCAATCATTCATTCTCTAACATGTGGTAATCGAAACTGGTATGCGATATGCGAAGTCTCGCTACTCCGCATAGGGCTGCTACAAGCGACACGAGGCACATGCAGGGCTTCGCCTTAAGATTTGCAAAAGGAGACAGATTGTGGAGCTAAGAAGCTACTGCCTCCCCTACGTATTGCCACCCCTATGTAGGAAGATTGGGTAGCATTAGAGTAAGCCCCGCCATACTAACTAACGATAGCCGCCGCAAAATGCCACTAATAGCGGCGCCGCCACGATAGTATGCCTTGAGAGGCAATGGTGCACCCGCAACGTGCACTCCTCTCATCAGCTCCTACCATAGTTTTGTGCCGAACTGTCGCAAACCGGCGAAAAAATAAGGGCAAAAGTGGCAACTACTAAACGACGATTCTAGCAAATTTGCGGTCCAAATTAGTGCTCTGAAATGTATTTATGTGTGTTCCAATCGTTACTCCCCTCACTGATTGTCTGCGTGGTATTATCACACTAAGACACGCTGAACTAATTGCAATGCTGCTGCGCAAGCGCTGAAAGCGGGGAGCGGAAAGCGGGATCTGAATGCGATGCACTGAAAGCGGGGACCTGAGCTGAAAGTGGGAGGTGAATGTCAAATTGCATTTGTTGTCTCTAGGTTGTGGTGGGGCATACTGTAAGGAGTACAACTCTAAGGAGTACACAAAGGGTTGCATCCTAGTACTTGTACTCATGCTTGCTCCTTAGTTAATCATTCCTATGTTCTATTTCTGACATGGTATTCAGAGCAGGTCCCTCCGTAAGACCACTCTGTTAGGGCCCACCAACCGTACGTACTGCCCCAGGAGCTGCTGCCGTCGCGCGCTGCTGCCCTGCCCTACCCAGCATTATCGCGCTGCCCCCGCTGCACACTGCCCTGCTGCCACGCATGCTGCGCTGCTGCCCGTACTGGCCTGCTCGCCGTGCGCTGACGACCAGGCTACTCAGCGGTCGTCACAGGGTTACACCTTCAGCCTTGGCTCTGGTTCAGTTTCTTGGCGTTCTACTCGTTCTTCTTCTGTTCTCAGCTCCAGTTGTGAGGCTGAGATCTGTCAGAACATTATAGCTTATGCTTTTGTGTAGGCTGTAGTGGGGTAGCCTATATGGGGTACAACCCAAATAGGGTTAGTACTTGTACCCAACTCTTTCATACTGCATTCATTCTCGTTCATTTTCACATGGTTTCAGAGCACATATGCTCCTGGCCTGTGGGCCCTACTACTGCTTCCGCTGCTACTCGATCTGTCGCACGCCCCATGGCGTGCGACCTATTTTACATCTCGCCGCGCGCCTCTCTGGCGCGCGCCCCGAGGCGCGCGGCCCCGTTCCTTCTAGGCGCGCCACTCCCCGCTACCCCGCCGCGGCGCCCAAGGGTGCCGCGCGCGACCCCTCGCTGCCCCGTCGCGGCCCCATCTCTTCGCGTCGCCCTAGCGGCCGCGTCGCGCCGCCCTCGCGGCCCCGATCCGCCGCCCTAGCGGCCCCGTCACCTACCCCTGCGGCCCCGGCGCCGCCCATCCCGGCCCCGGCTCCGCCCTTCCTGGCCCCGGCGCCACCTCGGCTGGCCCCGTCGCCTACCCCGGCGACCCCGACGCCGCCCTTCCCGACCCGGCCCCGCCTCTGCTGGCCCCGTCGCCTACCCCTGCGGCCCCGGCGATGCCCTTCCCGGCCCCGGCGCCACCTCTGCTGACCCCGACGCCGCCCTTACCGGCCCCGGCGCCGCCTCTACTGGCCCCGTCGCATACCTCTGCGGCCCCGGCGCCGCCCTTCCCGGCCCCGGCGCCGCCTCTGCTGGCCCCGTCACCTACCCTGCGGCCCCGGCGCCACCTCTGCTGGCCCCGTCGCCGCTCCACCCGGCCCCGCCGCCGTCCCCAAGCGGCCCCGCCATCACCACCGAGCCGCCGGCGCCGCCGAGCTGCTACCGAGCCGCCCGAGCCACCCGAGCCGCCCGAGCCGCAGCGCCACCTGAGCCGCCCGAGCCGCCGGGTCGCCGAGCCGCCGAGCTGTAGTTGCTGCCGAGCCGCCGTACCGCCGAGCCGCCCGAGCCGCTCGAGCCGCCGAGTTGCCGCGCCGCAGTTGCCGCCGAGCCGCCCGAGTTGCCCGAGCCACCGAGCCGCAGTTGCTGCCGAGCCGCCGTGCCGCCGAGCCGCCGTGCCGCCGAGCCGCCCGAGCCGCCCGCACCGCCGAGTCGCCGAGTCGACGAGTCGCCGAGTCGCCGAGCCTGCTCTTCCCACCATTGGTGAGCCCCTGCCCTGCTAGCGCGCTGCCCGCCGCCTGCTTGCCTGCCTGCCTGCCTTTCGGCTTGCCTGGCTGCTCGCCTTACTGCTGCTACTCCTGCTCCTGCTTCTACTAGCGGAGCCAGATGCAGCCCCAGCGACGTCCGCATGAGTCCCTCACGCCCTAGCAGCTGCGTGAGTGGTACGCTGGTTGGGGTTGTAGGGGTGGCGGCGCTGCTACTGCTACCACTACTGCTGCTACTACTACTGGCGGCGGCAAGATGCAGCTCCAGCGACGCCCACGCGCGTCTCTCACGCACCATCAGCTTCGTGAGTGGTACGCTCAGAGTAGAGGGTCTCTCAGTTCTGTTCGCTGCTCTTACGTGATTCGCACTGGTGCTCGGACTGGTCAGCCTTGTGGGACCCCTAGTCACACACAGTCACGCTGCTTCGCACGTCTGAGCGACGCCTGGCGTACCGAGTTTGGCGACGAGGCTGAGCTCCCTGACTGGGTGGAGTTGCTTAGGCAGAGGGTAGATATATTTGCTCTTGACTATGATGCTATTCTCACTGCCATGTATGCATTGCCTACTAGTGCTGACCGTGCCGGTCACCTGTGCGTACCGCCTGACCCGGGTATAGAGCCTGCTGCTCTAGTTGCTGGTGAGGCTCCTGCTCTGGGTGCTAGTGAGTCTCCTGCTCCAGGTACAGGTGCGGCTGCTGCTCTAGGTGCTAGTGAGTCTGCTTCCTCAGGTGCGGGTGAGTCTGCTCTCTCAGGTACCGCGTCGGCTCCGGCCTCTCACACCTTCACTCTTGACTCGGGGGCTTCCCGCTCCTTCTTTCGATACCACACCACACTCACGCCGCTTGGTCGGTCAGTTGCAGTCTCTCTGGCAGACCCCTCTGGGGGTCCTGTCCTTTGCTCACTTCTCCACTGTCCTCCCGTGTCCGGCGGCCCCCTCTGGCACCCTGTCTGGTCTTTACCTCCCCTCGTTCTCTACGAACTTGGTGAGTGGTGCTGACCTACAGGATGCGGGGGTTCACTAGTTCACTCCTGCGAGTCAGCGGGTGACCCACTGCACGGACGCTCGGACAGGCCGACACCTGGCCACGTTTACAAGTCGGCCGGGGTCGAGCCTGTACACGCTGACCACTGCGTCTCTTCCAGTCACTGCGTCTGGTCAGGTAGCTGCGTCGGGTCAGGTGTTTGCTGCAGCGTCCAGGTCCGGTCCTGAGTCTGCCCCCTGCTCGTATCGTCTCCTGTCTCACGAGACTCTCCTCTGGCACCACCGCCTTGGTCACCCCTCCCTGCTTCGTCTCCGAAGCATGGCCTCCCGTGTCCTTGTCTCTGGTCTTCCCCGGTCCCTCCCTCCCCTTCCTCCGGGGCCTGGCCCTACCTGCGTCCCCTGTGTCGAGGGGCGGCAGCGGGCTGCTCCTCACTCCTCTCAGTTTCCTCCGACAGAGGCCCCGCTGCAGACGCTTCACATGGACGTGTGGGGCCCGGCCCGCGTCCGTGGACCGGGTCACGAGCGCTACTTCCTGCTGGTGGTTGACGACTACTCGCATTACACCACAGTCTTCCCCTTGCACAGCAAGGGTGGTGTCACTGGGGTGTTGATCGACAGGATCCGTGTTCACCACTTCTCAACTCATACACCGGAGACATACACGAAACAAAAGCCAAACCCAGTTTATCTCCAACAAGCAGCTTTTACATCATGATGTGTTCAAACGAAATTACCTAGATCACTGACACAACACTCTTTATAAGCGCGTACACGCACACACAATTGAGTATCACACATGTACACCTCTGTAAAGGTCGACGGCGACGCATCCATCCACTTGCCGACTCATACAACATAAACAACACCTTTGCTCAACATCTTGGATCCCCGGGCTTCAAATCTCCCGTTTTTGAAGTACCACCAATCCTTCTCATCGTTCCAACCCCTTCTATTGATGTTACCGCCTGAATGGTACATAACTGTCTCTCTGACATCAACCTGACAGTTCTGGCAGCCAATCGAGTGCCTCCAGCCCTCCCTGCTCTGCCAGCCATGCTGCTGCCTCCCACAGCAACTCATCCTCCCCCATGCCGCCCGTGCCGCCCATGCCTTCCCCACCACCCATGTCAGCCATGCCGCACGAGCCACCCATGCCACCCGTACCACTCAAGCCATCAAGCCCTACGCTCAAAGTTCGAGTGCGTCGCATCACCGGAGTCTGCCCAGCAGCAACAGCAGCAGCGGCAGCAATGGTTGGAACCGCAGGGCTGAAAGCGATGTCAGAGGCCCACACAGAATTGCAGGCCATGCCCATGAAATTGTGAGTGTGACTCATGCTGGCTTGGATATCAGCAGCCTGAGCTGCCTGTGCAGGTGGCATCTGGGGAAGGTGGAACTGGTGCAGGTGCAGGTGCGCAGCATCGCTGCCTGCATGTTGCTCGTGGTTCGGGACAAGGTTACATAGCTTGAACTCGCCCTCGGCCTGCAGACTGAACACGCCCTTGGGCTGGAACTTCGGGCCTCATCTGAAGCACCATTGGCTGGTACTGCTGCCCCGCCCCTTGGGATTGCCAGCATTCACACTGACAGCACGGAGTTTCCAGGGTAGGCAGCACAAGAGCAAGCGGCAGCACAGCCGAGGGCGGCAGCTCAGCCGAGGGCGGCAGCTCAGAAGTGAGGGCATGAAGCGACATGCAATGCGGTGCTGCTGCTGTCGCTGCTGTTGTGGCTGCTTGGTACGGGCTGTGGGCAGCGTTAGGGAGTAGCGGAGGCGACAGGAAAGGAAGCGCCTGGGTTTGTGCACAAGCGGGTGCAACAGTGGGTATGACAGTGGGTTCTTGTGCTTGGAGTGGGGCCCACGTTTGCCATTGCACTGATCGTTCTGCTTCCACTGCAATGCCTGCCGTGGTCTGAAACGGCACTGCTGCTCCTGCTGGTTCTACTGATGTGGCTGGGGTTTGAAACGCGGCTCCTGTGGCTCCTGCTGCTCCTGCTGCTCCTGCTGCTCCTGAAGCTCTTTCTCCTGCAGCTGCAGCAGCAAGCGGTGCCTGATACGGTCCTGCTCCTGCGACTCGCTGCGAGCCATGCAGCACCTGACGTGGCACCATATCCTCCAGCAGCCCCTGCAGCTGACGTGGCGCTGAGTCATCATACGGGTTACTACCAACCGCAGTCACGGGCGTAGGCACAAGAGCCCCGCCCACATCAGTCGCGCTGCCGGTCCTGCTCATAGGCCTCCCGTAACCGTCACTGCTGCCACCCGTAACAGTCATAAGCATCCCATGCACCTCGCTGCCACTTCTGCTCAAAGACCTTCCAAAACCATCACCACTGAAGGCCACGGGGGCAGGCAAAACAGCCACAGCTGCATTGGTGGCGCTGCCACTTCTCATAGGCCGCCCGTAACCGTCACTGCCGCCGCCCACCACGGCACGCCAGCTGTCGTTCCTCTCGCTGCTCCCGTTGTTGTTGCTACCGTTATTATTCCAAGCGTCTTTCGCGGCGTGGCTCCCGCCGTTGTTGTTGCTGCAACTGGTGCTGCTGATGGGGCTGCTGCCGTGGCTGCCGGGGCTTGGCAAGAGGTCGGAGCGAGAGAGATTTGCGCGGAGCACCGTGAGCAGCAGAGAGTGTGAGTCCGCAGGGGTGCTTACAGGGGCATTGAACGGGGCGTTTGGAGCAGCATGAAAAGGGGCGTTTAGAGCCGTGCTTGAAAGTGCAGCTGCGGATGGGAATGGGGGGACCGTGGGAGCGGCTCCAAAAGAAGGGGCAGATTCGCAAGCCGTGCTGGCAGCAGGACTGTTGGCAGCAGCACTGTTGGCAGCAGCACTGTTGGCAGCAGCACTGTTAGGAGCAGCAGCAGTATTTGCAGCAGCAGAAACAGCCAGACGGGTGAGCGACGCGAGCAGATTAAGAGGCTGCCGCTTCGGTTGCCATTGCTGCTGCTGTGTTAGCTGCTGCTGCTGCGGTTCCTGCTGCTGGTGCAGCTGCTGCGGCAGCGGCTGCACCACAGTGCACCTTCCAGCATCCTTCCAACCCCCCTGGTCGCCACTGTTTCCCCACGGGAACTCGCGGTCAACCAGAGGAGAGAAGCTCACTTTGATCGGCTTGGGTGGCGTGAAGGAGTGAGTCGGGGCAGCAGAGAAGTGAGTCGCAGCAGCAGAGGCGGGAGATGCATGGGACGGGTGAGAGCCGCCCGGGGAGGCAGAGGATACATGAGATGCGGCAGACACGTGAGAGGAGGGAGACGTGTGAAGGGCAGGAGAGGCGTTTTCTGCACGAAAGCCAGGATGAGTGGATTGCGATTCAGGGGACGGCTGGAGCCGGTGGAAGGTTTGGAATCCTTCTGAAGCGCCAAAAGCTGCAAAGTCAAAGGTACTGGCATCAAAGGTTTTGAAATCGAAGTCGTGAGAGGCGTGGCGGGCATGAGGAGCATGGGGAAAGCACGGCTCTGATATCAAGGAGGAGTCGGCTTCACGTGACCGCTTGCCCAGGGAGGTTGGAGTGGGCGAGCGCTGAAGGTTCAGGTAGCATGGGGCGGAATTTGACTGCAACACCACTCTGCACTCCTCTTGCTGCTGCTGCCACTGCTGCTGCTGTGGGCGTTGTTGTGGCAGGGGTGGCGGCGGTTGCATCTGGTGCTGGCGGGGATATGGTGGTGCGTGCTGTGCTGCGTGCACTGTTGTCGGGAGTTGCAATGGGCCATTCCCGGAGACATGTTCCTGCTGCTGCCCCTGCTGTTGCTGCCCCTGCTGCTGCTGCATCTGCTGCTTCTGTAGCAAGTGCTGCAAATGCTGCTGCAACAAATGCTGCTGCTGCGGCTGCTGTTCATGCCACCGATCCATCTCTGCTTTCACTGCAGGCTCCGCCCAAACCCCACCTTTCCCAGCAGCAGCAGCAGCAGCAGCAGCAGCAGCATCCGGTGCTAGAGAGGGCTCGATCTGAAGCCCAATGGGCGGAACACTGTGGTTGTGCGTGTTCAGGTACGTCACTCGGAAGAAAATTCTCGAAGTGGGCGGCTTGCCTGCCGCCCCGAGCTGCGCTGCCTGGTCGAAACCGGGCGGCAGCGGTGACGGGTGGGCGGCAGGGGTGAGGGGTAATAATAGGTGCCAGTCGACCCACTTGCGAGCCGGACAGGGGTGGAATACAGTGGGAGAGGGGGCGGTGGCAGTGCTGGCTTTTGCAGCATCAGCAGCAGCGTCAGGATCAGCCTTGGAATAAGGAGTATAAGCATCAGAAGCTGCACCGGAAGCAGCAGGTGCACCAGCATCATCAGCAGCAGAAGCAGCCGGGGAAGGAGCAGGCTGGCCAGCTGAGCCTGGACGCGTTGCTGCCATTGCTGGCGTTGCCTCTTGCGTGGATGCTGCTGTTGGTGTTGCTGCAAGAGTGGATGGTGACGTCGGTGTTGCGGTGGAGCGCGCACAGCGGAAGTACGATCTGCGGTAGGGGGGAGCACGGAGCGCAGGGGGGGAAGCGAGGGGGGGGTGGAGATGGAGGAAAAGCTGAGATCACGGGGGGGATTAGAGCAGCCGGAGGGAGGCACGTGGAGCGCGCACAGCGGCCAAAGGGAGCACGGAGCGCGGGGGGAGGAAGGGAGAGGGAGGGAGGGAGGGAGGGAGGGAGGGAGGGAGGGAGGGAGGGAGGGAGGGAGGGAGGGAGGGAGGGAGGGAGGGAGGGAGGGAGGGAGGGAGGGAGGGAGGGAGGGAGGGAGGGAGGGGGGCGAGGAGGGGAGAGGAGGGGATTTGAGGGAGGGGGGGCGGGGGTGCAGAAGGGTGAAAGAAGAGGGGCGATGTGGGGATGGGAACCAGAGGGAGTGACAGGGGGGAGACGGCAGTATTGTAGCAAGGGAAGGGGACCGACAGGAGTGGTGCATTGAAGCAAGGCGAGGGGACCGACAGGAGTGGTGCATTGTAGCAAGGGGAGGGGACCGACAGGATTGGTGCATTGTAGCAAGGGGAGGGGACCAACAAGAGTGGTGCATTGTAGCAAGGGGAGGGGACCGACAGAAGTGGTGCATTGTTGGAAGCCTCTAAGGGGCCTGCCAGCAGGCCAGGAATTTGGGTTCTTGTGGAAAATACCATCCCATATAAGGCAGTGCTATGCAACTCAGCAGCAGAAGGGAACAACGAGGACGAGAGGGCGAGTGATCCCTGAGAGAAGCCGTTTCACTAAGCAAATATGTTTAGCAGTTAAAGCGTACCTGTGGCAGGCTGTTTTAACAAGCCGTTTCTCGCCGTACTTGATCCAGCACTGCCCGTCCTCCGGCATCACACCCTGAGGCACGCGCCTCAGCTGCTCCGCGTCCACTGCCGCCCACTGCGGGAACAGCGCCGCCAGCGCCGGGGCGCTGCTGGCTCCCGGATTCGCCCGCGGATCCGCCTCTTCCAGCGTAGGGGTGTTGCTGGCTCCCGGATTCGCCCGCGGATCCGCCTCTTCCAGCGTAGGGGTGTTGCTGGCTCCCGGATTCGCCCGCGGATCCACCGCCATGTTGCTGCTGCTGCTGCTGCTGCTGGGTGTCATGATCGCGGCCGTCAGGTAATCCACGGCCATAAAACACCGTACAATGCTTATCAAGCTGGTCTGCTTCGGATTCACAGGCTGTTGGAGCTATCAAGGCGCACGAGGGGGCTTAATCTCTCAGTAGTACCACTCGTGCGAGTTTGCAAAAGGAGCTACGCTGCTTTTATGGAAATCCCACATGAGAGAGAGACACACAGAGAAACGAGCCGCGGGTCTCTCACGCGGCATGCGAGGAGCGGCAATGATACATGAGCGGCAACGACACAGGAAATGGAATGGCTCGCCGCCAGAAGGGGAGGGAGGGAGTAGTTCGTTCGTTGGGAGGAGGGGAAAACGCGGGGAGGAGGTAGTATTCTCGTGGAGGTAGTGGTATTTCGTGGCGAAAACGCGGGGCTTTGACAGCCAATCAAACAGAAACCGCGTGGGACTAACTACCGGCCTCCGGCCTCTGTAATTGAGCCAGAAGCGACCCAGAGTCCAAGCTTTGCAACAGATCTAGGCGGCGAGCGGTAGATTCGCATACAGTACAGTTGTTCCGGGTTAGAGGTCCTCGCTGAAAGAGTCCCTTTTCCCCTTTGGGTAGAGTTTTCCGATATCGCGTAGGGTTGGCCCGACCCCTATAGACCCATTTTTGGCGGGAAATTTCGCAGCTTGACCGAATCATTGCACGAATCAGCTCCGCAGCCAATCAGAGGCGCCAGATCGAACCAGCCCCAACATTCAGGGAGAACGAGAAATAAGAGATATTTGATTCGATATTTAACTTTTGGAATTGTAAGTATTTTTTTCTCTTGAGCGTGATTAATTCTCAATCCTGTCGCGCATACAAGGCTCGACAATGACATCTCATTTACCTCGTTTACAAGGTAAACGAGAAGTTTTTACCTTCTATTCGACCCCCAAACCTTACTTCATTTTGTTTTTGTTTGCCCGTTTGTCATGCGACATTGATCAGCACGAGGAACCGAATCTACGTAAAAGACAAAATCCAAAGACTAGTAGCGAACAAACCACTCTTCATGCAATTTTCCTGAACGGGACTATAAGTATCGCGTTTTGCCCAGGGTTTGAAGGTTTTCGCACATAGTCCGCGGGCGGCGTCTCAGTCCATAGGACTATAAACGAGAACATTTGTACTTGGGCAATTTAGCGACAAGTGGACAAGTTAGTGACACAAGTCAAAAGTCAGAGAACGTCCTTCGGCACATTTTGACGAATGTCGTTTGTGAGTCAAAATACGCGATGCTGGTTCTGCGACTATAGCGGCGGGAGCTAGCTGGATGTGCAGCAGGATTGGCTAGCGACAGCACTAAGGCTTTTAACCGATCAGAGGGATTGGTTAACGATGGCGGTCGGTAGTTGCAGGCGATTTTTTCACCCAATCAGCATGCCACGTGAGGCACGTCATACGATTTCTAGGTACAGCTTATGCTCATTCGAGTCCCCCATACTTGCCTTACATTTTGGGCTTTTAAGTGATTCTTGCATTTCTCAAGGTTTCGTCAACGTCTCAGCTAGCAAAAAAGGGCTTATTAAAAACTCAATAGTTATACGTTGACAGTTTGAGGTCGGTCTCTCCGTTACCATTGGTTCATCATCACTGCAACTTGCTTGGGAGGCTTGCAAACTGGTTGTCAGCGTGTTGCCCTGCCATGTCCTCCGGCATCCTCTCTTTCTCACGTTCCTGACCCTGAGTCCGACCTTGCTCGTGCTGCTAGTTCTTCTGTCACTCGTCTCCTCACCACTGTCGTCACTGACCCTTTTTTTGAGTCTACAACTGCGTGTGCCCTAGTCACTGAGCTAATCGACTTTGCTGCTACTCGTCGTCTCGACTACGTTGCGAGTCTTCTTGTTACTGAGTCTGAGTCTGTCTGTCCTCCGTCCGTCGGGGGTGAGCTTGCCCTTAGCACTGACGTCCTTGAAGACAGGCAATTTGAGCTTGAGTGTCTCGCGGCCGTTTTACCCCATTTCGCGTCCATGTTGCCTTGTCTTGAGGGAGACCCGGATGCAATGGACATCCCCACCCCACGCTCTTACGCAGAGGCGATCACGAGTGAGTACTCTTCTCAGTGGCAGACAGCCATGGATGCAGAGAAGGCTTCCTGGAAAATCCACAGGAACCTACGTCGACGAGGTTCCCCCTCCTAGGGCGAACATAGTCGATGGCATGTGGATTTTCATTGTGATGCGGCCGCTGTGTTTTCCTCCTGCCTTCAAGGCGCGTTACGTTGCTCAAGGTTCCAGTCAGAGATAGAGGGTCGACTTCTTCTAGACCTTCTCCCCCACCCCGAAGATGACCATTCTTCGGGTGTTACTGCACATTGCAGCACAGCGTGACTACGAGCTGCACTCCCTCGACTTCTCCACAACCTTCTTGTAGGGCAGCCTTCACGAGGAGACCTGGCTGCGCAGCCCACCTGGCTTCACTGAGTCGTGTCCTGAGGGTACCTAGTGGAGCCTCCTACGGTCGGTCTACGGTCTCTGCCAAGCACCCTGTGAGTGGCACGACACACTGAGGATGACGCTTACGGCTCTTGGGTTCGCTCCTTCGAATGCTGACCCGTCGTTGTGTCTTTGCGCCGACCCTACTCTGCCGCCGTTCTACATCCTTGTTCATGTCGACGACTTGGTCTTCACTACTGCCGACACTGAGGCGCTGACCCTTGTGAATGAAAAGCTGCAGAAGAGACACACTTGCACTGACCTGGGTGAGCTGCGTAGCTATCTTGGCTTGCAGATCACCCGGGACAGAGCATGGCGCACCATCACTTTGACTCAGTCACACATGGTGCACCAGGTCCTTCAGCGCTTCAGCTTTCAGTTCTCCTCGCCACAGCGTACTCCTCTGCGTACAGGCCACTCGCTCTCAGCTCCACCTTCAGACGAGTCCGTTGAGCCAAGTGGCCCGTTTCCAGAGCTTGTGGGCTGCCTCATGTTCTTGATGATGTGCACACAACCTGACCTCGCGTACCCTCTCAGGTTCCTTGCTCGCTTCGTCGCGCCCGGGCGACACAGGAAGGAGCACTGCACAGCAGCGAAGAGGGTACTGGGTTACTTGTGCAGTACATCGGACATGGGGCTCGTTCTTGGAGGATGGGGTTCAGTGGTACTCTCAGGACATTCCGACGCTTCTTGGGCCAACGACCAGGCGACTCAGCGATCGTCACAGGGTTACTCTTTCAGTCTCGGCTCTGATTCTGTCTCGTGGAGGTCCACTCGTTCGTCTTCTGTGCTTGGTTCCAGCAGTGAGGCCGAGATCTACGCTGGGGCCATGGCTGCACAGGATTTACGCTGGCTCACCTACCTGCTGACCGACTTGGGTGAGCGGCCTTGTTATCCTCCAGTTCTGTACGTCGACAACAAGGCCATGATTGCCTTGTGTCACGAGCAGAGACTGGAGCACAGAACGAAGCACATTGCTCTTTGTTAATTTCTTGCTCGGGAGCTGCAGCAGCATGGTCAGTTGCGCCTTGTTTTTGTGGCCTCTTGGGCCAACACTGCTGATGTCTTCACCAAGGCTCTTGTGCCTGGTGATCATCAGCGTTTTTGCACCGCGTTAGGCCTTGTGCCTACTCTGCCTCACCTGCTGGTTGCTTGACTTTGTCTTGTACTGTGATCTATATATTTACCTGCATGCTTGCGCTTGTTATGTTGTGATCACTGTACTGCTTGTGCTTTTATCACTCTGCATGTGAACTGGCCTTGTGGCCGATTGCTTGTGCTCAGACTGCGTGGTGATCTTGAGATCCACCCTAAGCTTTGCTTTGCTTTGTTCTCTTGCTTGACTAGTCTTGTGATCGTTCGTTGTGTTTGCTATCCCCCACTTTGCCTATGGGGGTGTGTCAAATTGCATTTGTTACCTCTAGGCTGTAATGGGGCTTACTCTAAGGAGTAGAACTCTAAAGAGTACACTTTAGGGTTGCATCTTAGAACTTGTACTTAGTTATTCATTCCTACGTTCTATTTCTGGCAGTGAATCCCCCTCTGCGCGAATAAACAACTATCACTTGGACGCCGTTATGCGGGGAACAGAATGAGGCGCTATGAGCGAGAAACGACGAGCCCATCGCCTTTTTGCAAATCGACTACGAGCTCGGCAAAACGGACCTAATCGGCGACTTGGCGAAAGCGCCAAGCATAAGCGCGGCAGAACGCGGCGACGCTGAACTGCTGTGAGCACAACGGATCCGACGCGCGGCGATGAGGCGAGTAGAACGTGGCGACAAGGCGAGCAAAACGCGGCGACAAGCGCAGAGTAGAACGCGGCGGAGAGCGCGAAGCGAGAAGGTGGTATGGGAGACCGCAGAGCAGCAAGTGTCAGGCGCGTGCCCACGGATTCAACAAGTAATCATCTGAAGCTCGCGCAATACCAGCAGTGGCGCAAAGAGCAGCTTGCGACGTCCACCGGGATCAGAGTAAGGCACAACAATTTCGGTGAGGAAGCAGACCAGCATTCCTATGCATAGATTAGTCCGCTAACCAACTGGGATAAAGGGGCATGTTTCCTTGGTGGGTCAGCGCACCCATACCCCCCAGGACGCACCTGTAGCCCTTGGGGAGAACATTTCGGGCCATTCCAATGTCCACTTCCTGTAACTTTTGAACAGTTATTATTGGATACCCGCGCCACCTAAAGCGTAGGAGGCGGAGTCCAGCACCCTCAGCGGCAGGCGAGGAGGCTAAGAGCTAAGGCATCGATAACAGCGGGCATGGCGGGCCGAGGCGCAGGCACAGGAGGGGGGAGGGGGGCGTGGGGGGGGGTGGGGTGGGGGGGGGGTGGGGGGGGGGGGGTTAGAGAACAGCGAGGCCGGGGGGGTAGGGGGGGTCGGGCATCAACATAGCAGCGGCAATGGCGGCAGTGGAGGTGGACATTAACATGCCCGTCACTCGATACTTCCGGCGCGCGCACAACCTCAAACGCGCAATATGGCGCTCCTCCCCACGCCCCACCTTTCGCTTCCCCTCCCCCTCTTCCTTGTCCCTTATTTTCGATAAGGATGGAGATTGTGGATGGCAGCAGCATGGAGCATGGCGTAGCCCCGAAGAGAGGGAGGGGTAGAGGCATGAGTGAGGAGGCAGCGATCGATCTGTACCAAGATGCGGTTTGGGCTTTCAATAATGCCATTCTGCTGAGGACTGTCTGGGAGAGTGAAGGTCTGAAGAATACCCTCAGAGGAGAAGAATGCTTTGAGAATGTGATTTCGGAATTCCGCTACCGTCGGAGGGTAGCTACTCTATTTTGGTCTTGAAGTGTGGATTAGTTGGATTATGAGGGGATCCCAACTAGATAAGGTTGGGATGACAAATCTACACCCAACCTACAAATAGCCTTCGTGATATAAACCATAGTATTGATAGTACATTTATAACACACCTCGTAGGCTGTAACACATCAACCACAGGACAACCGAACACCGATGGAAGTGAGGAGGTGGTGATGGTCCTGGCGACCAAGTGACTTGGTGAACAAGTTAGCAAGGTTGCAGTCGGAGGGAGTAATGCTAAAACTCATGTGCTTGGTGCGGCTATGGAAGACGGGGCCCTTTGGTGCTTTCGTTGTCACACCACAGTGTGGGAGCTGGTTGAGGATACCCGAGTTCTGCAACCATAAAGGAGAGCCAACGGGCCTCCTAGGCAGCCATGGTCTCGGCATACAGCTCTGCCTCACAAGACGACAGTGGAACTGAGGATGATCGAGTGGAGCGTCAACTCACGACTCCACTGCCAAGGGTAAAGCAATACCCTTGAGAAGAGCGCCGATCACTCTGATCATCAAAATATGAAGAATCACTGTACCCCTCAAGACAAACAGGTGAACAGTCGCCAAGACTGAGCAAATAATCACGTGTGCGTTTAAGGTTGCAAAGAACCAGCTTGGCGGCAGACCAGTGTTGTTTGGTGAAGCGACCAGGTGCAACATAGTGAGGTGGTACACTGACTGGGTACGCCAAGTCTGGTGGTGTGCACATCATTGCACACATGAGGGATCCAACAGGCTCGGGGTATGGCTTGTCACAGCGCTCTGAGGGAACGGAGGGTGCAGTGAGCTGGTGCTGGAGAGAGAGTGGGGTAGGAATTGGTGTTGCTTTCTCCATCTTGAATTGCTCTAGAACGTTGTTAATGTAAAAATTTTGAGAAAAGGTGATGTGCGGGCCGTGCGATCACGTGTGATTTCCATGTCTAAATAGTTCGTCGGCTTCCCAAGATCCTTAATGGTAAGCTTCTCACCAAGTGCGGTTTTGACTGCAGCCAACTCAGCATGATCTTTGTCATCGATATAAACCAGGATGAAAAAGCGGGATGGGGTTGCTCTGATGAAGAGGCTGGGATCAGAGGTGGATGGGTGAAAGTCGAGGGACTCTAAGGTGCCTTTGAGTTTGTTCTGCAATTCCCGGGGTGCTTGCTTGAGGCCATACACTGGCCGATTCAGCTTCCATACAGTGTCTGGTGGAAAGGGAGCTGGGAATCCTTGGGCCACTCCATATAGATTTTTTCTCAAAGGACCCCTTGGAGAAAGGCAGAAGTCACTTCCGTGCAGTTAGCCTCTATGTCATCTCGAGCAGCAACATCAAGAAGGGAGTGTAGTGTGGGGGTTTTGGCTGTGGGTGAAAACGTCTCAAAGAAGTCGGATCCTTGCTTTTGGGTAAATCCCTTGGCACCGTGCTTTGAAAACAGGCAGGAGGAGTTGGAACAAGAGGAGATGATGGAGGAGGGGAGGAGGGGGGAAGGAGCGAGGGTGACTGTGAAATGCTAGAAGAAGTGGGTGGTGGAGGGTTCGGACTCCGACATGGTGGAGGGAGCGGGAAGAGGAGGAGATGGGGTGGCGGTGGCAGGAAGACTATCAAAGTCAGCCCAGGTAAGAGAAGGAGGAGGAGGAGATGGGGAAGAGATGGAGGGGTAGAACGGGTGAGACTCATCAAAAAAGACATATTGGCTGCGATAGAGCTTGTTGGTGGCAGGATGGAGAGAAACGTAGCTTGGAGAGTCAGAGTTGTGCCCGAGGTACACGAAGGTGATTGTCTTGAGAGCGAGCTTGCCGCCAGCTGCACGACGGGCTTGGAAGTTGAGGAGGACATATGAGGTGCATCTCCATACACGGAGAGGGCAGGCGGACGGCTTCTGACCCGTCCATAGCTCAACCGGGGTGGTGTGGGCATGGTGAGGATGAGGATGGAGATTGTAGAGGGCAGCAGCATGAAGCATGGCATCACCCCAAAGGGAGGGAGGGGCGGAGGCATGAGTGAGGAGGCAGCGATCGATCTGTACCAAGATGTCGTTTGGGTTTTCAACAATGTCATTATGCTGAGGACTGTCTTGGAGAGTGAAGGTATGAGGACTCCCAATGACACTTGAGAGTGTGATTTTGGAATTCGCCACCACCGTCGGAGTGTAGACACTTGTTTTTGGTCTTGAAGTATGTTTGAGCCTGCTAGACCCATTTCATGATAGTGGCAAGGGCTTCTGACTTGGAAGTGAGAAGATGAACGGAAACATAGCGGGGGGAGTCATCAATGATGACAAGGAAGTAGGAAAGCCCACCACGAGAACGAACTGGAGCAGGACCCCCAAGGTCCATGTGCACGCCGTTTAAAGGTGTAGTGGAGACGAATTGAGTGGGAGGATGGAGCATTCCATGGCAGACTGTACGCCTCCTTGTCGCGTATGATGGTGGGGTCAAGGCCGTCAGTGCGGATGGGGTCGGAGAAGAGGAAGCAGAGGCGATGGGGGCGCGGCAGCAGACAACCCAGCCAGTCAGGGGGGATTGCATGCAGACAGGCAAGGAGGGAGACCCACTGAACTGACCCACCTGGTAGATCCTGCTGCACTCCTCCTTGTCTCGTATGATCGTGGGGTCAAGCCCGTCCGTGCGGATGGGGTCAGAGAAGAGGAAGTAGAGGCGCTGGGGGCGCGGCAGCAGGCCGGCATTGGAGGCGAGGGGAAAGGGGGGCGACTGCATGCCCGTGGCCTGCAATGCTGGCTTCAGCCAGGGGCCAATGGGAGAGGACATAATTTCCCTGAGATCAGGCATGGGAGGAGCAGAGAGAGGAGACGTGGGGAGGGTTGGGAAGGAGAGGAAAGAATAAGGGGGCTGTGAGGAGGCGAGGGGGAAGGGGACCGTCTGCATGCCCGTGGCCTGTAGTGCTGGCTTCAACCAGGGGCCGATGGGAGAGAACATGATCTCGCTGTAAGGTCAGGGGTGGAGGGGAGCAGAGATGGGGGAGGTGGGGAGGGGTGGGAAGGGGAGGAGAAAATAAGGGGGTTGTAAGAAGCCCAGCATTGGAGGCGAGGGGGAAGGGCACTGTCTGCATGCCGGTGGCTTGTAGTGCTGGCGTCAACCAGGGGCCGATGGGAGAGGTCACTATATCCCTGTGGGTTGAGGAGTAAGGGGGAAGAGGGGGGCCGGTGAAGGAGGAGAGCTTAAGGGGAATGTGATAAGGTCGGCATAGAGGCGAAAGCAAAGGTATGCGTGCATGCTAGATGGGGGAGTGTGGCAATATGGTGGCTCGATCGTGCTGGTTGGAATCAAGTGGCACCTGAATGGTATATGTGTCGAATGCGTTCTCCACACTCAGTGGCCACTGAACCATTCACTCAGGGTCCATGAGCACGTCAAATGCGTCCTCCACTCCGATAGTAGAAGAGAACGGCACGATGGTGGCACCACAGTGCACCGCACCGCACCGCACCAGGTGCTTTCCCCCCCGCCCATGCAAGGCACTCACTCAGGATGCATGAGCATGTCAAATGCGTCCTCCACTCCAATGGTGGAAAACGGCAGGATGGGTGGAGCCACAGCGCACGGCAATGCACACAAAGTCGGTGGTGTCTGGCTGTGCGCACATAATATGGAAAGGCAGAGCACACATCATGGTTTTTGAGAATTCTCAAGAACCAGCTACACCATGGTATGGCAAGGCACACCAGCTACACCATGGTATGGCAAGGCACACCAGCTACACCATGGTATGGCAAGGCACACCAGCTACACCATGGTATGGCAAGGCACACCAGCTACACCATGGTATGGCAAGGCACACCAGCTACACCATGGTATGGCAAGGCACACCAGCTACACCATGGTATGGCAAGGCACACCAGCTACACCATGGTATGGCAAGGCACACCAGCTACACCATGGTATGGCAAGGCACACCAGCTACACCATGGTATGGCAAGGCACACCAGCTACACCATGGTATGGCAAGGCACACCAGCTACACCATGGTATGGCAAGGCACACCAGCTACACCATGGTATGGCAAGGCACACCAGCTACACCATGGTATGGCAAGGCACACCAGCTACACCATGGTATGGCAAGGCACACCAGCTACACCATGGTATGGCAAGGCACACCAGCTACACCATGGTATGGCAAGGCACACCAGCTACACCATGGTATGGCAAGGCACACCAGCTACACCATGGTATGGCAAGGCACACCAGCTACACCATGGTATGGCAAGGCACACCAGCTACACCATGGTATGGCAAGGCACACCAGCTACACCATGGTATGGCAAGGCACTCGAGGCACTCACTCGGGGTCCATGAGCACGTCAAATGCGTCTTCCACCCCGATAGTAGAAAACGGCACGATGGTGGCACCACAGCGCACCGCGATGCGCACAAAGTCAGTCGTATCGCGCCAGAACAGCTTGTACTTCTCGTTCTTCCGCTTCCCCACCTCCCTGCCGCCCCCCGGGTACAGCAGCAAGTTCTCCCCCTCCCTCAGCAGCTGGTAGCATGCTCGGGGGGATACCTGCAGCGAGTGGGGAGGGTTTGAGCAGGACAGGGATTGGGAGGGTGGGGTTGTGAGAACTGAAAGGTCTCCTCCCTGCCGCCACCCGGGTATAGTAGCAAATTCTCCCCCTCCCTCAGGAGCTGGTAGCACACGCGAGGGGACACCTGCAGCATGATGAGAGGGAGCGAGGAGCATAAGTCAGTGCGACAACTGACAGGTCACTTCCCTCCTCCCCCCATTCCTCCCGGGTACAACAGTATGCTCTCCCACTCCCTGGAGCTGGTAGCACGCGCGAGGGGACATCTGCGGCATGATGAGAGGGAGGGAGGAGGGTAGGTCAGTGGTATCGTGCCAAAACAGCCTTTTTCAGTCATGTGCAGCTTGTTCTTCCCTTTTATACCACTCACCTTCTCTTTTCTTCCCTTTTATACCACTCACCTTCCCTTTTCTTCCCTTTTATACCACTCACCTTCCCTTTTCTTCCCTTTTATACCACTCACCTTCCCTTTTCTTCCCTTTTATACCACTCACCTTCCCTTTTATACCACTCACCTTCTCTTTTCTTCCCTTTTATACCACTCACCTTCTCTTTTCTTCCCTTTTATACCACTCACCTTCTCTTTTCTTCCCTTTTATACCACTCACCTTCCCTTTTCTTCCCTTTTATACCACTCACCTTCCCTTTTCTTCCCTTTTATACCACTCACCTTCCCTTTTCTTCCCTTTTATACCACTCACCTTCCCTTTTTTTCCCTTTTATACCACTCACCTTCCCTTTTCTTCCCTTTTATACCACTCACCTTCTCTTTTCTTCCCTTTTATACCACTCACCTTCCCTTTTCTTCCCTCAAAAGTACGCCCAGAGGGTAGGTCAGTGGTGTCGCGCCAGAACAGCTTGTACTTCTCGCCACTCCACTTCCCCACCTCTCTCAACCCTGGCGATACAACCTGCCTTTACAACCACCACTCCCATCCCCGCCCCAACCCCCACCGTCTCACCCACACAGCACCGTCATTGGTGAACCGGTCTGCAAAGGGGCTCTGCCGATGCCGTCTATTCGCCTTCAACTAAAACATGCTAATCCCATCCCCATCCCCATCCCCATCCCCATCCCCATTCCCATCCCCATCCCCATCCCCATCCCCATTCCCATCCCCATTCCCATCCCCATCCCCATTCCCATCACCATCCCCATCTCCATTCCCATCCCCATCCCCATCCCCATCCCCATTCCCACCCCATCCCCATTCCCATCCCCATTCCCATCCCCATTCCCATCCCCATCCCCGCCCCAAACCCCCCAATCTCACCCGCACGGCACCGTATTTGGTGAACTGGTCAGCAAAGGGCCCCTGCCAGTGGGTGGGCGCGCCCAGCCCTCTTAACGTGACTCCCGTGCGCATGTGAATGTCTCGGATCATGAGCGGCCTGGCAGGGAAGGGGAGGGGTGGAAGGAGGAGGCACTCAAACTGATGAATGGACGAAAACAGTGGATACTGCTAGAGGGAGGCGAGCAGCGCGCAGCCAGCCCGCCCGCCCTATGAGAGTGAAACCCGGGAGCAGTGAGATGTAATATGAGGTGCCTCAAAATTCGAGTGACTTTTGAGAATTCTCAAAAGTCACTCGTACGCAGCCAGCCCTACGAGAGTGAAACCCGCGAGCAGTGAGGTGTGTTATGAAGCACCTCAAAATGCGAGCAGCGCGCATGTGGATGCCTCGGATCATGAAAGGCATGTGAAATAAGACTGGTTTTGAGGCGTCTCAAAATCATGAGAGGCCTGCAGAGGGGTGGAAGGAGGAAGACTGCACATAGATGCATCTCCTGGCAGGCGAGAGAGACATGGATGGACAGATGCAGGAGGTTGAAGAAGTGTTTTGAGACGTCTCAAAACACTTCTTCATTCTCATGGCAGGCAAGAGAGACATGGATGGAGAGATGCAGGAGCCACCCTGTACGACCCTAAACCCTGCCCCACCTTCCCCCCACCTTTCAACACTCCCAAAAACGTGCATGGCATACATACCGAAGATGGTGTGGTTGCCCACAAACAGCAGCCTGCCCCCCCGGAGGGTTGGTGCCCCCAGTGGCCTTGGATTCGAGTGACTTGCTCATCTTTCAAGATGCTTTTGAGTCGACTCAAAAGCAGACTTGCGCATCTGTTAAGATGGGCAACCAACCAAATCCGCTTTTGAGTCGACTCAAAAGTAAGATGGGCAACCAACCAAATCCGCTTTTGAGTCGACTCAAAAGTAAGATGGGCAACCAACCAAATCCGCTTTTGAGTCGACTCAAAAGTAAGATGGGCAACCAACCAAATCCGCTTTTGAGTCGACTCAAAAGTAAGATGGGCAACCAACCAAATCCGCTTTTGAGTCGACTCAAAAGTAAGATGGGCAACCAACCAAATCCGCTTTTGAGTCGACTCAAAAGTAAGATGGGCAACCAACCAAATCCGCTTTTGAGTCGACTCAAAAGTAAGATGGGCAACCAACCAAATCCGCTTTTGAGTCGACTCAAAAGTAAGATGGGCAACCAACCAAATCCGCTTTTGAGTCGACTCAAAAGTAAGATGGGCAACCAACCAAATCCGCTTTTGAGTCGACTCAAAAGTAAGATGGGCAACCAACCAAATCCGCTTTTGAGTCGACTCAAAAGTAAGATGGGCAACCAACCAAATCCGCTTTTGAGTCGACTCAAAAGTAAGATGGGCAACCAACCAAATCCGCTTTTGAGTCGACTCAAAAGTAAGATGGGCAACCAACCAAATCTGCTTTTGAGTCGACTCAAAAGTAAGATGGGCAACCAACCAAATCCGCTTTTGAGTCGACTCAAAAGTAAGATGGGCAACCAACCAAATCCGCTTTTGAGTCGACTCAAAAGTAAGATGGGCAACCAACCAAATCCGCTTTTGAGTCGACTCAAAAGTAAGATGGGCAACCAACCAAATCCGCTTTTGAGTCGACTCAAAAGTAAGATGGGCAACCAACCAAATCCGCTTTTGAGTCAACTCAAAAGTAAGATGGGCAACCAACCAAATCCGCTTTTGAGTCGACTCAAAAGTAAGATGGGCAACCAACCAAATCCCATTACCCCCCTCTCCTTCCCAACCCTCTTCCCCTCTTCCCCACTTCCTCCTCAACCCCCCCCAACGCACATGTCATAGATGCCGAAGATGGTGTGGTTTCCCACAAACAGCAGCTTCCCCTCGTTGCGAGGAATCTTTTCCAACCCTGCCATGCGCCACGGGGCGTGGAGGGTTGGCGGAAGGGGATGGGGGATGACATGGGACATGGCATGGCATGGCATGGCATGACGAACAGCAGCTTCCCCTCGTTGCGCGAAATCTTTTCCAACCCTGCCATGTGCCGTGAGGGTGGCGGGTGGGGGGATGGGGGGGCGGGGTGGGGATGAAATGAGTCAAACATGGCATGGTAACCAGCAGGCTGCCCTGGTGTTTTGAGACGTCTGATAATAAAAGTGTTTTGAGATGTCTCAAACAAAGTGTTTTGAGACGTCTGATAATAAAAGTGTTTTGAGATGTCTCAAACAAAGTGTTTTGAGACGTCTGATAATAAAAGTGTTTTGAGACGTCTGATAATAAAAGTGTTTTGAGATGTCTCAAACAAAGTGTTTTGAGACGTCTGATTATAAAAGTGTTTTGAGATGTCTCAAACAAAGTGTTTTGAGACGTCTGATAATAAAAGTGTTTCGAGACTTCTCAAAACAAACATGGCACAGCATGGCATGGTAGCCAGCAGGCTGCCCTGGTTGCAAGGAATCTTTTCCAACCCTGCCATGCTGTGGTGTGGAGGGTGGGGGTTTGGGGAAAAGAGATGAATTGAGACGTTGCGTTGCATGGCATGCCATGGCATGGCATGGCACAGCACGGCACAGCACTGCGTGGCACACTATGCCGGTATTTCTCACCCACACACATGCACATGTCAACATAAAGGGGCCGTGCAACCCAGTTCCAGAGGCGAGGCGGTATTGAGGCATGTCATCCAGCATGCCGACCAATGGACCGGCTACACACATTGCTTTATTTCGCACAGTACAGCACACACACGACACACACACGGCACACACCACACGGCACACACCACACGGCACACACCACACGGCACGCAGCACACGGCACGCAGCACACGGCACGCAGCACACGGCACACACCACACGGCACACACCACACGGCACACACCACACGGCACACACCACACGGCACACACCACACGGCACACACCACACGGCACACACCACACGGCACGCACCACACGGCATGCAGCACACCATGACCATATCACACACACACACCCACACGTACCAACATAGAGAGGCCCGGCCACCCAGTTCCAGAGGCGGTACTGAGGCATGTCATCCAGCATACCCTCCAGTGCTCGTCCCACCTCCCACACACCCACAGACTAGCCAAGCACAGACAGACACAGCACATTATTCCATGCAAACATACACACATACCAACATAGAGAGGCCGTGCGACCCAGTTCCAGAGGCGGTACTGCGGCATGTCATCCAGCATACCCTCCAGTGCCCGCCCCACCTCCCCTGCCGTCGCCCGCCCCTCCACCGACCCCATGTACCTCCCACCTTCCACTCCCCCTTCCCTTTTCCCTTCCCCTTTCGCTTCCACTTTTCCTTCCTTGCCTCCCTGCTGCTGCTCTTCTTTCCTCCTAGCCCTTGCTTCCCCCACCACACTCCCCACGCCGCTCCGTTGCATTGCTTTCTCTGTGGATGAAGCAGCAGCAGTGGCAGTGACAGAGCCAGCGGCATTAGTACCAGGTTTCGCACCAGCTCCTGTCCCCTTATTAACAGCTCCGATACTGGAACTACCATTTGTGGCACTAGTAGAACTGGGGAGTGCAGCTCCATTAGCTGCATCAGGAGCACCAGAACGCGCAGCTGCAGCAGCAGAACCGGCACCACCACCACCACTGCCCTCTGCACCCCTCTCTGCATGCCCGTTATTAGCACGCACAGAACGGGAGGCAGCAGATGCTGTAGCTTTGGACTGGGGTGGGGAACCCAAAGCGGACTGAGAGGAGAGAGAATCAGGTGCAGCTTGAGAGGCGGAGGCAGCTTCAGAAGCAGAGGCAGCTTGAGGGAACATGCGATCAGCCCATGCGGCATCCCCTTTACCCTTCATCATCTCATAGTACCCATCCAGCCTCAAACCACGCTTGGCCTTCTTGACTTGCTCCCCTTGATTCCCTTGCAGTCCCTCCCGTTGTCTTTCCTTCCCTCCTCCCTGCCTCTCACCTCTACCCTCATCCTCCTTCCGCACCACATCATTCTCTACCCACAAGCTCTTCCGCACTCCCTCCTCCTCTCCTCTGCCCTCTTCCCTCCTCCCCTTGCTCCACTCCCGTAAACTCCTCACTATCCCTCCTTTTCCCCCTCCCCCTCCCACAACCCCTCTAGTTTCCACTCTCCCCTTCTCCATCCCCTTCCAAACCTCTGCCGAACCCCCGTTCTTCCGAGACTGGGCCGCCCGAACGTGAGACCATTCCCGAAGCACCACCTCTCCCTGCGCCTCCTCCCGCTTCCGAGAAACTTCCACCCACACATCTCCTCCATTCTCCCCCCCTTCAGCTTCTATCCCAGCATCTCCTATCTCTGCTCTTGCCACCGCTTCCGTTTCTGCTCCTACTGTTGCTCCTGCCACTGCTGCTGCTGGCACCCCTCCTGTTTCTGCTGCCACCACTCTTGCCACTGCAACTGCTGCTTCTGCTGTTGTTGTTGCCACTGCTGCTACTGTTTCCGCTGCCACTGCTGCTGCTGGCACCCCTGATGCTTCGGCTGCCACCACTCTTGCCGCTGCCACAGCGGCTGCTGCTGTAGTCGTTGCCACTGCTGCTGCTGTTTCTGCTGCCACAGCGGTTGCTGTTGCCAGCACAGCAGAAGCAGAGTTAAAAATCGCTTCCTCTTGGCCTCTCGGGAGGAAAGCAGCAGCAGGGGCAGCAGCAGCAACACTCTCAAGTTCAGGCTCTGCGAGAATTCCCACATTTCTTGGCATTGTGGACACATCATTGGAGGCAAACGCAGCAGCATCAGCATCAGGGCCTGTGATTGGTCCGGCATCCGTGGCAGCAGAACCGGCCAATCCAAGCACAGCAGCCACGTCAGCATCATTCCAGTCCTTCCCCTCCATGCTGAACTCGCCCTCCTCATCGCTGCTGTACCCTGCAGCACCCTCCACTCCTGAACTTTCACCTGAACTTCTGACTGCTGCACTTGGTGCCGTGATGCCACCCGCGCTGCTGATACCAATTCGGCTTGCACCGTTCATTGCAGGTTCGGCAGCAGACGAAGCACTGCTATTGGCAGGGCTCTTATCCTTGCTATAAGCAGGCTCGTCGTCATCAGAGGGAGGGACAGGGTCCAGAGGAAAGGCAGCAGAGGGCAGCAACACTCTGCACTCCTCCAGAATGTCCCGCAGAGAAACGCCCGCCTGATAGAAGGGGAGAGGGAGAAGACGGAGTGGGGCAGGGGGGTGAAGGGAAACGGTGGCCCGAGCACTTGGTTTGTACTTATAATGCGCTCAGGAAGCAGAGAGAAGGCAGCAGACGGCAGGAGACACCCCACCTTCCTTGCAGAATCTCCCGCGGAGAAACACCCGCCTGACGGACAGGGGTGGGTTGATTGACAGTGGGAGGGATGACAGAAGGGGTTGGGTAAGAATGTACAGCTTTCAGCGGTGTGGCTTATCCAACCCCTTCTCCAGCAACCAAGAAGCCTGGTTTATGCCTTTTACCTAGCCTTACAGAGCAACCCACCCACTACACTTAGCTGAAAGGCTTACAGAGACCACCACACAGCTTGCTGCGGCTCGCCTTCTTCCTTGTTTACTCTGTTGTGTGATGGCACTTATCCAACCTCTTCTCCAGCAACCCAGAAAAGATGGCTCATCTCTAGCAACCCAGTGTGGCTGGAGATGGGCTTTAAGACGGCTAAAGACTCACCTCTAGCAGGGCAGTGTGGCCGGAGAAAGGCAGAATCTTGATGCGGCACGATGGGATGCACGTCGCGAGTCCATATGCTTCCTCCACTGATGGTATCAACCGGTCCTCCCCACTGCATGCACGCAGTGGATGGGTGGAGATGGGTGGAGATGGGTCAAGATGGTTACACCATATACCATGTCGCCAGAAAGTATGCCTCCTCCACTGATGGTGTCAGCCAGTCCTCCCCACTGCACACATGCATACATGCAATGGGTGGAGATGGGTCAAGATGGGTCAAGTGAGGGAGGTCGAGTTCACGTTGCCACCCACCCTGTAAGCCTCCTCTACTGATGGTATGAGCGGGTCCTCCCCACCCCACTGCATGCAAGCAAGCAAAGGGAGGGTGAACATGGGCCCTGACAAGGTCTGCTTGTGAGTCGACTCAAAAGAGGAGGAGAAGGGGGCACCGCCTCTGGGACTCCCGGACTGCTTTTGAGTCGACTCAAAAGGGAGGGTGCACATGGGCCCTCACAAGGTCTCACGATTGGGTTTCACAGTCAATAACACATTAGGCTTTCAGGGACACGTTTACACGTCAAGCCATCGATCAGTTCATCATTGTGTTTCTGCTCATTGTGGTGCCCCATCTCATGCCCTATGCCCCATGCCCCGTTCCTCATACCACATGGCCCAAACCCCGTTCCTCATACCACATGGCCCAAACCCCGTTCCTCATACCACATGGCCCAAACCCCGTTCCTCATACCACATGGCCCAAACCCCGTTCCTCATACCACATGCCCCACCTCATGCCCCATGCCTCATTCCCCATTCCCCATACCACATGCCCCATTCCCCATGCCCCATTCCCCATGCCCCATTCCCCATGCCCCATGCCCCATGCCCCATTCCCCATGCCCCATTCCCCACACCACATGCTGCATGCCACATGCCCCACGTCTCATGCTCATGTTACATGCCCCTGACCTCACCCATGCCCATGCCTCATGCCTCATGCCATAGATTGGCTGTAGCATGGCACCGGACAGCTGTAGCACAGCCTAAGCGATCACCTGGCAATGAGCAGAGTGCTGTCTGTGACGGACTGTAGCATGGCAAGTGAAAAAAACTTTGCCCAACCAGGAGGAATGTCCCGTGCACCCTCGCTTTAAGTGCCCACCTGACAATGAGCAGGGTGCTGGCTGTGATGGACTGTAGCATGGCGTCAGATGGCTGTAGCGCAGACATCATGGCAACACGGCGTGCCACCGTTGCTGGTGGAAGCACGCTCGTGCTGGTGGGGAGAGGGGGTGGAAGAAGGAGGGGGTGCAGGGAAGGAGGAGAAGAGGGGACCGGGTGAAAAGGGGAACGGGGTCAAGGTGTGAAGGGCGAAAAGGTGACAGGGTGAAGGGGTACAAAAAGGCACAGAAAGAACCTGAAGGGCGCAGAAAGAACCTGAAGGGCGCAGAAAGAACCTGAAGGGCGCAGAAAGAACCTGAAGGGCGCAGAAAGAACCTGAAGGGCGCAGAAAGAACCTGAAGGGCGCAGAAAGAACCTGAAGGGCGCAGAAAGAACCTGAAGGGCGCAGAAAGAACCTGAAGGGCGCAGAAAGAACCTGAAGGGCGCAGAAAGAACCTGAAGGGTGCAGAAAGAACCTGAAGGGCGCAGAAAGAACCTGAAGGGCGCAGAAAGAACCTGAAGGGTGCAGAAAGAACCTTAAGGGTGCAGAAAGAACCTGAAGGGCACAGAAAGAACCTGAAGGGCGCAGAAAGAACCTGAAGGGCGCAGAAAGAACCTGAAGGGCGCAGAAAGAACCTGAAGGGCGCAGAAAGAACCTGAAGGGCGCAGAAAGAACCTGAAGGGTGCAGAAAGAACCTGAAGGGCGCAGAAAGAACCTGAAGGGCGCAGAAAGAACCTGAAGGGTGCAGAAAGAACCTTAAGGGTGCAGAAAGAACCTGAAGGGCGCAGAAAGAACCTGAAGGGCGCAGAAAGAACCTTAAGGGTGCAGAAAGAACCTGAAGGGCGCAGAAAGAACCTTAAGGGTGCAGAAAGAACCTGAAGGGTGCAGAAAGAACCTGAAGGGCGCAGAAAGAACCTTAAGGGCGCAGAAAGAACCTGAAGGGCGCAGAAAGAACCTTAAGGGTGCAGAAAGAACCTGAAGGGTGCAGAAAGAACCTGAAGGGCGCAGAAGGAACCTTAAGGGTGCAGAAAGAACCTGAAGGGTGCAGAAAGAACCTGAAGGGCGCAGAAGGAACCTTAAGGGTGCAGAAAGAACCTTAAGGGTGCAGAAAGAAAGAACCTGAAGGGCGCAGAAAGAACCTGAAGGGTGCAGAAAGAACCTGAAGGGCGCAGAAAGAACCTTAAGGGTGCAGAAAGAACCTGAAGGGTGCAGAAAGAACCTGAAGGGCGCAGAAAGAACCTTAAGGGCGCAGAAAGAACATGAAGGGCGCAGAAAGAACCTTAAGGGTGCAGAAAGAACCTGAAGGGTGCAGAAAGAACCTGAAGGGCGCAGAAGGAACCTTAAGGGTGCAGAAAGAAAGAACATGAAGGGTGCAGAAAGAACCTGACAGACGCAGAAAGCACCTGGCGAACAAACAAAGCACCTGAAGGGCGGGGTGATGAGGGTCCTTTCTCTCTCCCCCAGGCTGTCCCAATCACAGAGCAGAGGCGCGAGCGCCACGGAGGACAGCTGCGCCAAGACAGGAATGTCTGGCACAAAGGGTGCCTGGGGTAGGGAGAGGGATGGGGATGGAAGCAGGGCGGGGAGATGGTGGATGGGAGTTAGAGAGGAGAGGTGAGAGAGGTGCAAAGGGTGCCTGGCATGGGTAGAGGGATGGGGATGGTGGGTGGGGGATAGGGAGGAGAGGGAAAGAAGGTGGGAAGAAGTCAGAGAGGAGAGGCGCGAGGGCCAAGGAGGAGAGCTGCGCCAAGACAGGAATGTCCGGTGCTAAGGGTGCCTGGCATGGGGAGAGGGAAAGAAATGGGCATTGGATGGCCATGGGAATGAATGACTGAGAGGTGGAAGAGGACGAAAGAGGAGAGGAGGAAAGAGCACGAAGATGGGAATCAAGCCAGGGAGAAGGGGGTTTAGGGAAGAAAGAACTAAAGACCTGCTGCTGTCTGGGTCTCATGTCAAAAGACCATTGGGTGGTAGGGGAGAGGCAGGAGGAGGACTTTGAAGCGAGAGTGCTTTTAAGGAGCATCTAAGAGAGCAAGGCTGTTGGGGCAGCGATGGTGTATTTGCAAATTCGCCCCCGAGGTGTGCTTCGTTGGTGTGGTTAGAGAGGCGTGGTTAGAAGAGAAGAGGGAAGTATCGGGCTCACCAGCGGCGCTCCGAGCTGAAGGGCTGGCTGCCGGCGAAAGCCACTCGCACTGCATTGGTTGGAGGGATGGGATGGGATGGGATGGGATGGGATGGGATGGGATGGGATGGGATGGGATGGGATGGGATGGGATGGGATGGGATGGGATGGGATGGGACAGAATGGGATGGGAAAAGGAGTAGGGAATCAATCATTAAATGGTAGAATCGAAGGGCCTGGCACACACACACACCCATCCACACACATATGCATGCGCACCTGTTGCATATGACGAGGTGGGCATGGGTAGCAGCGAGGGAGAGTGCCACCCCCGCCACTGCTGCCACCACAAACCCACACCCACACACCCACGCCCCCATTCCCTCGCACGCACCTGTTGCAAATGGCGAGGTGGGTAACCAGGTTCGCATGGGTGGCAGTGGCAGGCAGCGAGGGAGAGTGCCACCCCCACTCCGAGTGACTCCGCCACCACTGGCACTGCTGCAGGCACATGCATGCAGCATGCACACACTTGCACAAACATACACCCACACGCACCCACACCCACCTGTTGCAGATGACGAGGTGGGCAACCAGATGCGAGTGCTTAGCAGAGAGGGAGAGCGCCACCCCCGCTCCAAACGACTCTGCCACCACTGTCACTGCCGCAGGCGCCGCTGCTGCTGCATCTTCCAGTGCAGGTGTTGCAGGTACTGCAGGTGCTGCGGCTTCTTCTGCTGCAGGTGCTGCGGTTGTGCCTGCCCCTGCAGGCATTCCGTCCTCATCAGAGGCGTATCCCATGGCTCTTGCACCCAAGGACGCTTGCAGCAGCAGCAGCGCGGTCTCCCTCCGCAGGTCCTGCTCTTGCTGAATAAGATCCGCCACACTGGCGGCGAGTGCGTCGAGGGGGAGGACGGGGTGGCCGAGAGGGAGGGGAGAGGGAGGGGCAGAGGGAGGGGCAGAGGGACGGGGAGGGGGAGGGGGATGGGAGAGGGAAGGAGAGGGGAAGGGGAGCGGGAGGGGAGAGGGAGGGGAGCGGGAGGGTGGGGGGGAGAGGAGGCGAGGGAAAAGGTGGGAAAGGCGGGAGGTGGAGGGGATTGGAGGCAAGGTATTGGGTGTGTGTGCACGCGTGGGACCACTCACTGATTCACAGGCTGATCGTGCTCCTGAGGGGGGAAATGCAATGCAGTGCCTTTTGAGTCGACTCAAGGTCACCTCGTTACAATGGCAATGTCCTGTCTTTCGTCACGCGTGGATGGAATGGAATCACTGCTTCATGCGCAGATCATGCTCGTGAGGGCGGAGATGCAGAGGCAGCTGTAGTATTATAAAGTGCCGCTATAACCGTGTCCTCACTCAATGCCGCTACAGCCGTATCACTCAGTGGTGCTACAGCCATCTGCATGACTGACTGTTACAGGCATAACAACCAATCACAGCACTCACAGCTGGGAGAGCTGGGCGTAGGAAGAAGTATCAGCAGCCGGGATGCAGAGGCACCGCACATCGTAGCAAGGCCTTAAGCCCTCCAGGTGGCGCTCTAGGAATACGCCCTGGAGGGTGGTGGGAGTGGAAGGGTGGTGGGTGTGGAAGGGTGCGCATTGCAGGGTAAGGAACGGAAGGGAAGTGAAGGGACAGAAAGAGGGGCAAGGGAACGCCCTGGGGGGTGGGGGGAGTAGGGTGGGTGGGCGATGGTCGATGCATAGCATAGGGAAGAAGAGGGACAGAAAGAAGGACGACAAGTACATGCGTTCCCTGTTCATTTCGTTCCTTCCTTCCTACCATCTCCGTTACTCCTCTCACTGTCTTTTCCAGCCCGAGCAGGTACCCGGGCAGAAGAGCCGGCACCTCTGGCCAACTCTTTGAGGCGCCTCAAAAGTCACCTCAGGCGAAAACCTACACCCTAAACCCGAAACCCGCGCCGCTTCCACCACTAGCCCCTACCACCTCTCACCGTGCCGTCTAGTCCGGGCAGGTACACGAGCAGCGGCAGCTCGCGTCGCATGCCGCACGGCGCCAGGAATCGCGGGCCGTCCGTCGCGCGGCTCGCCTCCAGCGCCACCTGCACCAGATCGCGCCCGCTCACGTCCCAGATCCACCGCGCCGCGTCCCCGATTGAATCATCCGCGCTACTAGCAGCCCCGTTAGAGTCGTTCTCGTCATTGACGCGTGGCCGTTTGTCGGAAGCATCGTCCGCGGCTGTAGCGCCAGCCCTCTCATCCACCGGCCCATCGCGGTCCCCGCTCCCCCCTTCCGCGCTGCGAGTCGCGTCAATTCGACCGTTACGCCTCGATACGACAGACCGTCTCGCTCTAAACGGCCTCGCTAAAAGCAGAGGTCTCGCGGCCGCAAAAGGCCTCGCTACTACAGGATTGTTCGCGCTTGTTCCAATAACGAGGCTGCCAGTAACGAGACGCGATCGTCTTCCCGCAACGCCAGCTACAATCGGAGCATTCCACGGCGGAATTAAAAGAGAGAGAACGGAGACCGACAGTTGATTTGCTGAGGGGCTCGCTGGCGTACGTCCTCGTCTGTCAAATTGACGGAAAACGTCTCCGCTAGACGGTCGTCCTTTATTACAAGCAATGCCAGCAGGTCCAATCGCGGAACGTTGCGAGAGAAACGGCGAGCTGACTAGCGACGGCGACGGTAGAATCGACTGCGACGATAAGATTTTAGGACCATTGGGAGGGACAAATCGTTCCCGTCGCGATGAATTCTGACGAGAAACCAGCTGCGTGCGAGAAGCCGCGCATGTCGGCGCACGAGGCGCATCCATGGCCGCCCTGGTGGTCTGGGACTGATCAGTTCCACGCTGTTATTGTTTTCCCCGCTTATCAACGACGCGTTATGAAGCCGGTCCGATTTCGTACTCAGTATTAGGTTCAGCTGTTCTAGAATCATGTACTCAGAAGAATACAATCACACAAAAAGAAGAAGCTTGTTTTATTTCCAACAATACATTCTAAAAAGACATGCTACATCACGCACTCAGCACCCTATCCCCTTCATAAGCACACACGCACACACGCTTCCCAATTCTGGCAACCAGAAAATATATGCGCCATTTATCCTTCTTCCTACACCAGCCCTCTCCCCATTGCAGCGTTGAGATTCGCCCCCAATGCCACGTAATAATCTTAGGAATCACCCTGTCAGGTCCGGCAGCCAATCAAGTGCCTCCAGCCCTCCCTGCTCTGCCAGCCATGCTGCCGCCTCCACCAGCAACTCATCCTCCCCCATGCCGCCCGTGCCCACGCCGCCCACACCACCCATGCCGCCCATGCCGGCCAAGCCATCAAGCCCCACGCTGAGAGTGCGAGTGCATCGCACCACGGGGGTCTGTGTACCAGCAGTACCAGCACCAGCAGTGGCAGCAGCAGCGGCGGCAGCGGCAGCAGTGGTTGGAGCAGCAGGGCTCAGAGCGACACCAGAGGCACGCACAGAATTGCAGGCCATACCCATGAAATCGCGGGTGTGACTCGTGCTGGCATGGAAATTAGCAGCTGGAGCTGCCTGAGCTGCCTGAGCTGCGTGAGCAGGTGGCACCTGGGGGAGGTGGAACTGTTGCAGGTGCGCAGCAGCACTCCCTGCAGGTTGCTCATGGCTCGAAATAAGGTTTGTGAAGTGGTTCGGGGCGGGAGGGAGAGAGGCGACGGGCGGGAGAGAGGCGATGGGAGGGAGAGAGGCGACGGGACGACGCACACTAGTGGGGGAAGTGTGAGGATGAGTGGTGAAAGTAGGCGATGCTAGCTGCGGTTGCCTCGCTAATTGAGAAGCCTGAATCCGTGCTGACATTTCCATCACAACAGCCTCTGGCTTGGATTGCACTGCAGACTGAACACACCCTTGGACCGGAGCTTCGGGCCTCAACTGAAGCACCATTGACGGCTGCTGCTGCACTTGCTGCTGCTCCTGTTGCTGCTGCTGCCCCGCCCCTTGGGATTTCCGGCACTCACACTGGCAGCACGGGGTTTCCAGGGTAGGCAGCACAAGAGCGGCCGGTAACACTGCAGCGGGTGGCGACGCAGTGGCAGGTGGCGGCACTGAAGCGGGCGGCAGTTCGGAAGCGCGTGGCTGCGGCAGGGCATGAGGTGACATGCAATGCGGTGCTGGTGTTGTTCCTGTAGCTACTGTCGCCGCTGTTGCTGCTGCTGCCTGGTACGGGGTGTGGCCAGCAATAGGAAGCAGCGGAGGCGACAGGAAAGGAAGCGCCTGGTTTTGTGAAAAATCAGGTGTCACAGTTGGTGCTACAGGGGGGGCTTGGACTTGAGCTTGGAGTGGGGCCCACAGTTGCCGTTGTGCTGATCGTTCCGCTTCCACAGAAATGCTTTCAGCGTTCTGAAATGAAACAGCTGCTGCTACTGACCTATGTGGTGCTACTGATGTGGCTGGGGGTTGAAACGCTGCTGCGGCAGCATCAGGCGGTGCCCGATACTGTGATGCACCTGTGACTCGCTGCGAGCCCTGCAGAAGCTGACGTGGCACCATATCCTCCAGCAGCCCTTGCAGCTGGCGTGGCGCTGAGTCATCAAAACGGTCACCAGCCGCAGTCACGGGGGAAGGCACAAGAGCCCCACCCGCATCAGTGGCGCTGCTCCTGCTCATAGACCGCCCGTGACCGCCAATGCCCCCGCCAACCGCCATGGGGGAAGGCACAAGTGCTGCGCCCGCATCAGTGGCGCTGCCGCTTCTGCTCATGGGCCGCTCACAGTTCTCACCGCCGCCCGCCACGGCACGGTCGGCCGGAGAAGAGAAGCTCACTTTGATCGGCCTGGGCAGCGTGAAGGAGAGACTCGCAGCAGCAGAGGATTGAGTCGCGGCAGCAGCGGCAGGAGATGAGTGAGACGGGTGAGAGGCGGCGGGGGAGGCAGAGGACACATGAGATGCGGCGGCAGACACGTGAGAGGAGGGAGAGGCGTGGGGGGCAGGAGAGGCGCGCGTCACACGAAAGCCCACCTGAATGGATAGCGGTTCAGGGGACGGCTGCAGCCGGTGGGGGGCTTGGAATCCTTGATTCGAGTTTAAGGTTGGGAGATTAAATCCCTCGGAGGCATAGCGTGCGTGGGGGGCGTGCAAGCGCAAGCAGGGTTCTGACATCAAGGAGGGGTCAGTTTCGCGCGATCGCTTGCCCAGAGAGGTGGGTGTGGGAGATCGCTGCTGGGTTAGGTAGCACGGGGCGGAATTGGACTGCAGCACCGCTTTGCACTCCTCTTGCTGCTGCTGCTGCTGCTGCTGCTGTTGATGTTGTTGCTGTTGCAACAAATGCTGTTGCTGTGGGTGCTGTTGATGCTGTTGCGGGGGCTGCATCTGCTGCTGCCAGGGATGTGCTGGAGAGTGCGGTGATGCGTGCTGTGGTGCGTGCTGTGTGTGCGGTGATGTGTGCACTGCTGTCGTGAATCGTAAAGGGGCAGGAGAACTCATGTTCCCCTGCTGCTGGCACTGCTGCTGCCCTTGCCCTTGCTTCTGCCACAGCTGCTGCCCTTGCCCCTGCAGTTGTTGTTGCTTGCTGCTGCTGCTGCTGCTGCTGGCTGTGCTGCTTGCTGCTGCTGCTGCTGCTGCTGCTGCTGCTGCTGCTGCTGCTGCTGCTGCTGCTGCTGTGCTGCTGCTGCTGCTGCTGCTGCTGCTGCTGCTGCTGCTGCTGCTGCTGCTGCTGCTGCTGCTGCTGCTGCTGCTGCTGCTGCTGCTGCTGCTGCTGCTGCTGCTGCTGCTGCTGCTGCTGCTGCTGCTGCTGCTGCTGCTGCTGCTGCTGCTGCTGCTGCTGCTGCTGCTGCTGCTGCTGCTGCTGCTGCTGCTGCTGCTGCTGCTGCTGCTGCTGCTGCTGCTGCTGCTGCTGCTGCTGCTGCTGCTGCTGCTGCTGCTGCTGCTGCTGCTGCTGCTGCTGCTGCTGCTGCTGCTGCTGCTGCTGCTGCTGCTGCTGCTGCTGCTGCTGCTGCTGCTTGCTGCTGCTGCTGCTGCTGCTGCTGCTGCTGCTGCTGCTGCTGCTGCTGCTGCTGCTGCTGCTGCTGCTGCTGCTGCTGCTGCTGCTGCTGCTGCTGCCTGCTGCTGCTGCTGCTGCTGCTGCTGCTGCTGCTGCTGCTGCTGCTGCTGCTGCTGCTGCTGCTGCTGCTGCTGCTGCTGCTGCTGCTGCTGCTGCTGCTGCTCTGCTGCTGCTGCGCTGCTGCTGCTGCGCTGCTGCTGCTGCTGCTGCTGCTGCTGCTGCTGCTTCTGCTGCTGCTGCTGATGCTGCTGCTGATGCTGCTGCTGGCTGCTGCTCGCTGCTGCTGCTGCTGATGCTGCTGCTTGCTGCTGCTGCTGCTGCTGCTGCTGCTGCTGCTGCTGCTGCTGCTGCTGCTGCTGCTGCTGCTGCTGCTGCTGCTGCTGCTGCTGCTGCTGCTGCTGCTGCTGCTGCTGCTGCTGCTGCTGCTGCTGCTGCTGCTGCTGCTGCTGCTGCTGTGGTGCTGCTGCTGCCTGATGCTGCTGCTGCTGCTGCTGCTGCTGCTGCTGGCTGCTGCTGCTGCTGCTGCTGCTGCTGCTGCTGCTGCTGCTGCTGCTGCTGCTGCTGCTGCTGTGCTTGCTTCTGCTGCTGCTGCCTGCTGCTGCTGCTGTGCTGCTGCTGCTGCTGCTGCTGCTGCTGCTGATGCTGCTGCTGCTGCTGCTGCTGCTGCTGCTGCTGCTGCTGCTGCTGCTGCTGCTGCTGCTGCTGCTGCTGCTGCTGCTGCTGCTGCTGCTGCTGCTGCTGCTGCTGCTGCTGCTGCTGCTGCTGCTGCTGCTGCTGCTGCTGCTGCTGCTGCTGCTGCTGCTGCTGCTGCTGCTGCTGCTGCTGCTGCTGCTGCTGCTGCTGCTGCTGCTGCTGCTGCTGCTGCTGCTGCTGCTGCTGCTGCTGCTGCTGCTGCTGCTGCTGCTGCTGCTGCTGCTGCTGCTGCTGCTGCTGCTGCTGCTGCTGCTGCTGCTGCTGCTGCTGCTGCTGCTGCTGCTGCTGCTGCTGCTGCTGCTGCTGCTGCTGCTGCTGCTGCTGCTGCTGCTGCTGCTGCTGCTGCTGCTGCTGCTGCTGCTGCTGCTGCTGCTGCTGCTGCTGCTGCTGCTGCTGCTGCTGCTGCTGCTGCTGCTGCTGCTGCTGCTGCTGCTGCTGCTGCTGCTGCTGCTGCTGCTGCTGCTGCTGCTGCTGCTGCTGCTGCTGCTGCTGCTGCTGCTGCTGCTGCTGCTGCTGCTGCTGCTGCTGCTGCTGCTGCTGCTGCTGCTGCTGCTGCTGCTGCTGCTGCTGCTGCTGCTGCTGCTGCTGCTGCTGCTGCTGCTGCTGCTGCTGCTGCTGCATCCGCTGCTGCATCCGCTGCTGCATTTGCCGCTGCTGTACCAAGTGTTGCAAATGCTGCTGCAACAAATGCTGCTGCTGCGGCGGCGGCGGTGGCGGCGGCTGCTGTTCACCCACCATTTCTGTTTTCGTTGCATTCTCCGCCCAGACTCCAGCTGCGGCAGCAGCTGCACCTGGTAAATGGTTTAAGTTAACACCACCAGCCTGACAAGCACCGTCCGTTGCTGCAGAGGGCACTAACCGGAGGCAATGGGCGGCTCACTGTGGTTGTGCGTGTTCAGGTAAGTCACCCGGAAGAAAATGATCGATGCGGGTGGCTTGCCTGCCGCCCGGTGGTGTGCGGCTGCGTCAAAACCGGGCGGCAGCTGCGACGGATGGGTGGCAGGAGTGAGGGGTAGTAGCTGCCAGTCAACTCGCTTGCGAGCCGGGCAGGGGTGGAAGACTGTGGGAGGGGGGGCGGCGGTTGGGGTGGCAGTGCTAGCTTCAGCAGCATCAGCAACATCAGCAGCAGAATCAGTATTGGCGTCAGGATCAGCCTTGGGATGAGGAGTAGTATTAGTAGCATCAGAAGCTGCACCGGTAGCAGCAGCAGGGACATTGGCATCAGCAGCAGCCGCAGCAGCAGCAGCTGGAGCAGCAGCAGGCAGGTCAGTTGAGTCTGAACGAGTTGCTGGGGTTGCTGGCGCTGCGTCTTGCTTGGATAGTGATGTTGGTGTTGCAGGTGGCGTTGCTGCCGTTACAGGTGTTGCTGCTGCTGCTGGTGTTGCAGGTAAAGACGCCCCTGCTCCTGCTTCGTCCTGGCGAGTGTCAGCGCTGTCAGGCAGAGGGAGGCACGTGGAGCGCGTACAGCGGAAGTACGACCTGGGATAGAGGTGGAGCAAGGGCAGGAGGAAGACGGGGGCAGGAGGGTGAAAGGAGATGAGATGACGTGGGAATGGAAACCAAAGGGGGTGATAGCATCATCCACAGCCGTTGCAAGCACCACACCTAACAATTCCCCCATCTCCGAATCACACAGAAGCTCACCAGTGGCAGGCGGACTTGACGAGGCGTTTCTCGCCGTATTTCAGCCAGCAATGCGCGTCCTCCGGCATCACGTCCTGCGGCACACGCCTCAGCTGCTCCGCGTCCACCGCCGCCCCCCCAAGCACCACACCCAATGCCTCCAGCTCCTAATCACACTCACGCGCACCCAACAATGCCCCAAGCTCAATATCAAGCTCATCCTTACCTGTGGCAAGCTGACTTGACGAGCCGCTTCTCGCCGTATTTCAGCCAGCAGTGCGAGTCTTCCGGCATCACGTCCTGTGGCACGCGCCTCAGCTGCTCCGCGTCCACCGCCGCCCAATGCGGGAACAGCGCCCGTGCGGGGGCGCCACTGGCTACGGGGTTGCCCCCCCCCGCCGCGTGACGACCACTGGTCGAAATTTGGGCACAGGTAGCCGCAGGAATCGCGGCAGATGGGAGCTGCTGAGGGGACCTCTCTTGACGCAGCGCCAGTGGTTCATTCCCCACCGGATTCGCTCCCGCCGCTGCTGTGTGACGGCTGCAGATCACCGCGGGAATCGCGGCAGATGAGAGCAGTTGCGCGGACCCATGCGGCTGCCTTGGCGCGCTTATCGTGCTGCTGGCGCCAGTGCTGCTGGCGCCAGTGCTGCTGGCGGTATTGTTGCTCGTGGTGCTCGCAGCAAGGGTGGGAGTCATGATGATCGCTCCAGTGGACACCCGTCGGGTAATCCACAGCCATAAAACGCCGTAGTGAACAGTTTACTTTAGCAGACGAGAAAGAGAACCCGGACCGGATTGGAGTGTAACAGTGTCAGAGTCCTCGCAGGTATGTTTCGATCTCTGGGTTTCACAGGCTGTTTTTGAGGCGCCTCAAAAGTCGGATCAGAGTGTTCCCAGGTACATTTGGAGACTCTTTGGGTTTCACAGGCTGCTTGGCGCTCAGAGGCCACACGAGGACGCTATCTTATTAGTAGCAATACTTCTAGTATTGTACTCCTGTTATCCCTGGTTTGCAAGCGGCGCTGCGGCTTTGTGGAAGAGGAATGGCTAGCCGCGTGACCTCCTCTGGTGGGGGGAGAGGCGGTGGTAGCAGTAGTTCTGTATTATGTAGAGAAGTAGCTGAAACGCGGCGCCTGATCGAGCAGAAACCGCGTGGTTCTACTCCTGGCTTCTTGCAGAGCCGGTGGCTGAAAAGTTTGAACCGCAGCAAGCAGAGTTAGCACTGCTGCCTCGTCAGGAACTCAGACCGCGGGGCTAGACAGCCAATCAAACAGAAACCGCGTGGACTTAGGGCGTGTCCAGTTCGTTCATTTCGGGGTTTTTAGTGCCAACACACGTCTCGAGGTTCATCACTGTACCTATAAACGAATGCATTGTGAGTTGAGTCCCACCTACCTGTAATTTCAGGAGCGCGGACACGTTCTCCGCCACACGAATCAACAGTGCTCTGATCGGGTTCGAAACGAGGTAACAGTTTCCCTCGTCAATCATAGCTAACGAATTTTTGTGCAGGCGGGGGGGGGTGTTGGCGAGTCTCGCGAGCTACTGGCGAAATTGTGCAAGCGATACATGGGGCACTTCTGTAGTGGCCAGGACGCGGTGCTGTACCCTTGTTCGTGTCCCCGCTGATTCCAGTAACGTGAGTCAGACGACTCACGTGCAGGGGGCGTGCCGTTTTGTGAACGAAAGCTGATTGTGTTCGTAGAGCACGTTCAATACAGTGTTACAACAAAAAAATGTGGTAACTGAGCGGGCTTACGAACAGTAAATGTACGAGCTGGACACACCCTTACACATCCTCCTAGCCTCTCGCAGAAGCTGAATCTGGAAGAGTTTGACGAGCAGCAAGCTGAGTGCTGCCCCGTCACGTATTCTCACACGCGGAGCGCCGGCCTTGACGAATAGAGCAGTGATTAGACAGAAACCGCGTTCTACATCAACCAGAAGGGAGCGGCTGTATTCATAGTAATCCGTGGTCAGACAGAAAGGCTCAGGAGTCCTGAGAATATCGTGTTTGCTCGCGTCTAGAAACTCATAAGCTCCGAAGTCAGCCATTCAGTCAGCCCTTGTGAGAAAGCTACCCGCGACGTTCAGTACAGAGGTCGACTGGCAACGCTGCTCGCGATGCTCGGTGTTGCAAAATAATATCACATTATTATGCCCGTCATGCCTACAGGCCTAGACAAAGTAGTGGCGTGGCACGTCATCATGATGATGATCGTTCTTACGCCAGCCGCTGGCTAGTGGTTCATCATCAGCCTGATGAGGCAACTTGTCGACAAGACCGTGTACGTAACACGAGCACGCGGCAGCTGCTCGATAAATTCAACTACAGTACAATACTACAGTACCGGATCTCACAAATTCCGTGTCAACGCCGAATATCTCAAGGTCAGGAGCGATAAGTGGGGAAGAAAGAGGAGGGAAAGCCAACGGGAGGAATTGGGGTTCGGAAATATCGAGGGGCTGGCGTCGATGGGCGTGATGCCCGGTTCGGTGCCGCCGCCATGCCAAACACACAGCTTCGGTTGAGGCAGCGTGCGGCATGGCTCGAATGATATGCGGGCGGTCCTCCCGTTCCGTCAGTTGATGGCAGCTCAATCGAAGGCCAGTACACCCTGTTTCGCAACCTTGTCACCTTGCGCGACTCGCTTCCACAGTGCTTGGAGCTAGCGCGCTGGTGATTCTAACCGATTTCCAAGGCAAGGGAGCACCTGGCGACAAATCAGCCGCATTGGTCTCTGTCATGCAGAATCTGAACAGTGCATTCGCCAGCTGTGACGCCAATCCAACTTGGCAACCCAAGAGGTCTAGAATGTGCAAACCAAATCAAGTCAACGGAAACTCACACTCAAAAGGTTCAAAACACACAAGGCCCAAATCACCCTGGTGCAGTGCGTCAACTTCTGAATGCACTTGCCACACACACACAACACAACCCTCGACATCTAAACGCTGGAGCAACACCAGCAACAAGGCACAGCCACCAGCCGCACGCAACTACGACGCACAACTAGGCTGCACAATTTCGACCCAACACAGCAAAACGACTCAAACAAAGACCAAAAGACAACCACCAGACACACATCTTATTCATGTTCCACCATAGAAAGAAGGAAAACTTGCAGCTTGGCAACATGAAACCCGGTAGGGAGTTTCACATTCATCCTGCAAAGAACAAAGGAGGGGAGGGGAGTGCTACATTTCAGGCAGGTTCAGGTACTCGACCGCCATTGCCAGCAGCTCGGCTTCATCTGCGATTGTTTCGGAGGCCTGCAGATGCTCGTCGTTGTCTAGAAGCTCCTCTGCGATGACGTTCAGATCAATCGTCATTCTCCTGCTAGCTCGCACGAGCCGGTCTATGACGGTGGGATTGCGGATGTCAAGAGCTTCAAGGACCGCACGAGGTGAAATGCCACGGGCGTTTGCCAAAGTAACCAGAAGGTCTGTGGCTTGACGCGCGATCCGACGAGTCCCTCGGTCAAGGACACCGTTAGTAGAGCTCGTTGACTGTATTGGGCCGACAGAGTCTTCACCATCTGCAGCCGTGTCGACGAGCACCAGGTCAGGTTCCATGAGTTCGCTCGTTGGCTGATGATCGTCCACTGTTATGAACTCCATCGCACCCATAGCCCGTGGCCCAAGGCTAAGTTGGCCAATCGCACGAGCCAATTCCGCCACTTCACTCTGGGCGACGTTTCCTTCAGCCATGGTTGATGGAGTGACATGGCTCATCTGCTGCAGCCATGTGACGGGTACGCAGCCAGCTCGCGCCCAACACTTCTGAACTGTGGCGGCATCGATGGAACGCCATGACCCTCCAATCCAGATTACCGTGCGACGTGGCCCAGGCTTTGCACGTTGTAGTTCCAAACCTGTCACGCCACTTTCCCACAAGTGTACGACTTCCCCAAGCCACATACGGCGGAAACGGAGCTTCAAAGTGGCAATAAGTCCTTGGTCGAGTGGCTGCAGGAATGTTGTGGTGTTGGCAGGAAGATAAACGATCCGCACGTTGGACATTTTGAAAGTCTTCATGCCCAAAAGCGTTTCCTCATGCCCAACGTCGGAGCTGAGCACGTGGGATGAGGCATTGTCCATCAGGATAACGCACTGGCGATCTTGGACAAAGAACGAAGTGTTCACGGTGTCCATGATGTTTGCAAACACCTGTTGTGGAGAACAACCGTGTGTGGATTGAAAAACAGAGAAAGGGAAAGATGAGTGTCCATACTAAACGGTTTCTACGTAATCGCATTAAGCACCTAACACAGTACATACTATGAAAGCAGGTATACTAGTTTACCTCTTTTGTCATCCAGCCCTTGCGGTTCCAGCGCCATTTCACGTGTTCCTCCACGAAGAAGTCACTTGTAAATTCTCTCGGTCGCCGCACCTTCGCGATCACTATGGGCTTCCACATGTCCGAGCCATCAGCGTTGCAGAGAAGAGCAACGGTGAGGCGGTCCTTGCATGCTTTTCCCCCAGCAAGCGTCTCGGCAGCGTAGGTACGCCTTGGCAGTTGTGCCGGGTACAGTGCTGTCTCATCAAAGTTGTAGCAGTCCTCGGGCGTAATTCCGAGACTCATCAACAGACGTGGCAGCTTTTCGCGGCACTCGGCAACTGCAGCCATGTCTGCCGACCCTGCTTCGCCTTTGCGCATGAGGCAGCGAAGACCCATCCTTTTCAGGGCACGAACCACCCAGCCGATGGAGCACTTGAAGGTACTTGGACACATCATCTCCTGTGCAAGCTGACGTGCACGGTACTGGATGAGGCTCAAAGTTAGTGGCAAGCCAGCTGCAGCGGCTAAATTAATCCAAGAGCACAGACGCACTTCCAATCCAGGATATACCCCCCTCCTCACACGTTGCTGTTCATCCGTTCCAAGGGTCTCAGCAAGCCATGCGGCTTTGTTTTTCAGCACCTTACTGACGGTTGACCGAGCTGGAGTGACCTTGAATCTCAAGGCCGTCCAAGTCGCGAGTTGTTCATGAGTCAAACTTGGGCTTGCTTCGTGCTGTTTGCAGATGGCGCGTTTGATGCGACGGGTGAGTGCCGCTCTGGTGGGGATTCTGGCCATGGTTTAAGAAAGCGTGAGGTGCTGCCACACCTCGGGGATGTCGAATTGAGTTTCACGAGGGAATTTGACGGCGCGTTTGAAACCTCCCGAGTCGCCAATTTCCAATTCTCAAATCGATTTCGGATGATATTGGGAATTTCGCCGATTTCAACGTGACAGTTTACACGCTCAAGCTGACGCGGCAGGGTCTTGGAATTCGTACGTTGACGGTGGATTGGGATTTCTATGGTCCTCTTTGGCGGTCTGGTAATCGGTTGCACCAATCATATGTCACCATGTCAAATCTGCACATTCGTGTAACGTGATTTCCTCTGCTCTTGGGAAATCCTGACAACTTCGCCAACCCTATAACCCGTGGCCTGATGACAAACATGCCACCTAAGAAGTCATCATCATCGGGACAAAATGTGCCTGTACAGGTGGTGATCTGTCCATTCTGAACGTGGTGAGGTTCCACAACCTGACAAGGTGAGGCTACCAGATGCTCTGCTAGCGCGAAACAGGGTGTACGAAACCTACAGCGAATCAAGAAAGCGAATTGAATTGAACATTGGACAAATCAGTGCATGCCACCGTGAGATTCAGGTCCCCGTTGAGCAACTCAACAGCGGCA